GGGCCGACCCGGCGGCGCCGCGTGGCGCGAGCCCGGCACGTTCCTGCTGCCGCCCGCCAAGGCGCCCTACACCTGCGGCGAGTGCATGGAGAGCTTCTCCAGCCAGAGCGTGCTGAAGCTGCACCAGCGGATGCACGCGGAGCAGCACCTCGTCCTGTGCCCCTGCTGCGACCGCAGCTTCGCCCGGGCCGCCGACTTGGCGCGGCACCACCGCGCGCACGCGCGCGAGCGGCCCCACCAGTGCCCCGAGTGCCAGAAGAGCTTCAAGAAGCGCCACAGCCTGGCCCTGCACCGCAGGAGCCACGCCGGGACGGACGGGCCGCGCTAGCGCCCGCCGGGGCGCCCCGTGGTGCGGGCTGCGCGTGGGGAGAGGGGCTCATGAGGTGCCAAGGGGGCTCTGGCACCTTGTGGCCGCGCTCGCCTTCGTCCCGCTGCCCGAGGGGCTGGACGGGCCCCGGGGGGGGTTAAGTGGGGGTCCGTGCAGGACGGGTGGCTCCTGCATGTGGGAAGGAGCGCGGGTTGGCGTCGGGAGCGCCGGGATGAGGGGGCCGTGGCGGCGCTGGCCACCTCGCGGGTCCCCCGGGGCCAGTGTGGGTCACAGCGGTGCTGCAGAGAGGCTGGAGCGGCCTGGGCGCAGGGCGAGGCGGGGGCTGGAGGCCGCACGGGGCCCGGGTGGATGGAGGCCGCACGGGCTGCAGGACGGAGGCCGCGCGGGGCCGGGGTGGATGGAGGCCGCACGGGCTGCAGGACGGAGGCCGCGCGCGGCCGGGGTGGATGGAGGCCGCACGGGCTGCAGGACGGAGGCCGCGCGGGGCCCGGGTGGATGGAGGCTGCACGGGCTGCAGGACGGAGGCCGCGCGGGGCCCGGGTGGATGGAGGCCGCACGGGCTGCAGGACGGAGGCCGCGCGCGGCTGGGGTGGATGGAGGCCGCACGGGCTGCAGGACGGAGGGCGCGCGCGGCCGGGGTGGAGGCTGCGCTGGCGGCCGTGCCCGTGTCCCAGGCTGCAATAAAGCGCGGGAGCCGCTGGTGTCCCCTGGCTGCTCTGCTGTCCTTGGGGAGGGGTGGCCGGGGCGCTGCTGGGGGGGCAGGCACCCCGGGGGGGC